GGAACCGTTGAAATGAAATGGAGGTACAAATAACATGCAAAGTGACTTTCCCACCATCAACTCAGGAACAGAGCAAACTCCAACAGTGATGTGGATATACGCTCAAACGGACCACTTAGGTATAGTTGTTTGAGAAAAATATACACATGCATGTCATGCACGCACACACAAAATCAGATACTGCATATACATATATATCTAAATAAATTGAAAAAAAAATAGTATAATGCACATATGCATATAAAATAAATGAATATTCAACAATAAATTTACTGAAGAAAATGAAAAAAAACAAAAACTTTTTGAAAAAAGAAAGAAAGAAAGAGAGGGAAATATTAAGTACCAGCTGCAGATTTCAAATCATATGCAGGCACAGTAAAGGCTGATTGAGTCCCAAGTAAAACATTAGATACGGTGGATGATATAACTGAAGCCAATATAATCATTGCAGTTGTAAATGGAGGTGAATTTTCTGCTCGAAGAGGCCTTAACACGGTTTCAATAGCAAAGAAGCAACCAGCAACTGCTGCATTAAACCCTGGAGAGAAAAAATCCTAAAAGATTATAAAATGGAGAAACAGAACTGTATAAAGTTGTCTTAAATAAACATCTTTTTATTAGAATGAACAGTACTACGAAACTAGAGCCATGATAAGAGATTAAGGCAAAAGTACATAAAGACTATCTCACTATTCTAATGCCAAACTGATTATTTGTTCATGTCCTTGATTAAGGCACACAAATGACAATAACAATGATAAGAATGAAGAGAAGAGGAGTGCATCTCATATTGAAGGAAAAGTTCCTTTGACATGTTACTCTAACCTGGAAACAAAACTTGAGATAGACAACTTGTATTTTCTGATCTCAAAGACAACTGGATGTTGCAAATTAGATAAGTGAATGAACAACAGACCAAATAATTACATTCATTAATGAAGTATCAATCTCCCACAGTTCAGTCATAAAGAAATTTATTCTATTTCTTTTAAGAGTAAAATTTAAGTTGATTTTTAAGGCAAAACTACATTAAGCTGCTTTTGATAAACAATTGTAACGAATTAGAAGACAAAGGAAACAATAAATGAAGCTAACTCATAAAATAAATGCAAACTTGTAGACAAGATATTCTGGGTTGTACCTGAAGAAATTCCAGCCGCTGCACCTGCTGCAACAAGGGCAATCTTCCTTTCTCTGTTGTTTTCCATCATTAATGAGAATCCGTTGGCACAAGATTTTCCAATATCTACACTAGGGCCTTCAGGACCCAAAGAACAACCAGTACCTAAAGTGACAGCCGCCTGGACAGCCTTTATTGTGGGAAAAACTCCAGCAAGTAAATCAAAACCCTGTCTTTGAGAGGAACTGGACTGCCTTATCTGGTCCAATATTTCAAGTAAACCATGCATCATGCCAACAATAACCCCACCCGTGACTGGTATTAAAAGAATTCGATGCCAAGTATCACCCAGTCTCTGCAGACGGAGCCATGCAGCACCATCATTTGGAGTACCAGCCCAGGCCCATTCATGTATAACATGTACCTAGATGAGCACTAAGGTGTCAATGAATGTCAATAGAACAAACTAAACAAGACATAATGTTATAGACTCTACAAGCTAAACAATCAAACCAAGAAGCACGATTTTTAATCTGTTATTGGCACCATTTCCAAATGTAGACCATCTTGGATCACACCGAGTGTCATACAGACACTGGCACAGAAACAAGCAATAAGAAGCACCAGAAATAAAATACACCAGAAATGACACGCATACTGTTACAAACTCTAGAACCCAAACATACATACCAAGAAGCACCACCATTTCTATCTCTTATTTCCAATCATAATAACCAATCCCATCAAAACAATTGAAACCATTTCCAAATGCAAACCATCTTTGATCAATTATATTGCAATCTAACAGAAAAATAGCGGTTGCAATGGTGTAGAGGCAGCATTGGAAGAAGCATAACAAGTGTCAAACACAGAGAAAGTGATGTAAAACTAAGCACCAAGTTCACATATTTTTCAGCACTTTTACAAAAATTATAAGTTTTCCCATGATGGGCAACAACTGGATCTCCAAAACATGAATGGGATTATGCATTGGAGGCTTTTGGAAGATGAAAGCTTACCCCTTTGTTAAAAGCCGCGACAAAGAGACCGGTGGCGAGGCCGAGAAGGCAACCAATGAGAAGCAAAGCCCACTCGGGAGGGGCACTATCGGCAAGCTCATCATTCCCATCCATGCCGGCCAAGGGCTCATGATGCTGCTGATGATTATGATGTTGATGGTGGGGATCTACAGGGGAACGCGGCTCTCTAATCTCTCTGTGATTGTGGTTTTCTCGACCGCGCTTGAAACTGATCCGGCGACCGGAGAGCCCTCCTGCGCCGTCCAAATGCTTGATCAGCAGATCTTTCAAGCCTCCGACGCCTCCTCTTCTACTGGTCGGACTGATACTGTTCTTTCTGCTGCTCATTCCATCTTGAGCTTCCAAGTCACTGTCTTTCTCTGCAGAAGCGCCACCATTTTCGTCTTTGTTAATGTCGTTTGAGGATCTCAGGAGAAGAGCCTCGTCCTCTCCTGACATCTTAGCGCGCAAACCCAAAACCCCAATTCTCTCTGTCTCTGTCTCTCTATTTAACCATATAAAATCAACAGTTGTTTCTTCTTCATCATCATTTTCTTCTTCTTCTGTTCTTTATTCACTGTAAGATTATACGCGTTCTCTGTTCTGTTTGCTTCAAAACCTTCCAATGTCGTTTTTACCTTCTCCTATCATCAATTTCTTTTGCCTTAAATGCGGTTTTGCCCCCGAACTATAACATAATTGTCAATTTGCACCCTCAATTATTTTTTTGGGTAAATTAAGGGTACGAATTTGTTAAAAATAGTCAAGTCAGTCCCTATGGTCAGATTTTGACTGATTTCATCCATTTATCTGTTACTCTTCCCACGTGATGTGCACGCGACCCCTTCAAGAAGTGCAAAATCGCCACTTCACCCTTCATTTCGACTAAATCCCCCCCAATTAGCCCTAATGCCCTAATTTTGTTACCCAGACTAGTGGCGGTGCTGAGATGAGGCGCGAGACATCGACCTCAAGTGAACATGGAGGAGCTGTGTTGGGGAGATATTGTAAATGTCTAAAAGAGGCGTTAATAAGGATATTGTAGACATATTTAAACCCTGGAAGAAGGTTCTATGTTTGTGGCACACAAGGGGCGACTTTTGGTTATTTGAATTTTTTTTTATCCGATTCCATGAGTGATGCAGAGAGGTCAATGGTGTGATTTGTGGAAGTGGGTAGACCCAGAAATGTGCAATTGTTCGAATCAGATCATTCCCGGGCTGTTAAGGCGTATTAGAACTATGGAGGAGGAACTTCAGTTGCAGAGAGCTAAAGTAAAGAAGATTAGGTTTTGGTTCGGCAGCTGCTTCATTGTGATGATAATTTTGGGCCTTTTTGTGTTATTGAAACCAAATTCAGGGATGGGAAACAGCTGAAATTGGAATTAATGTGATGAAAGGGTTTGATGGCATGTATTTTGTGGTTTTGGGTAATATGTGTTAGTGGTGTTGTTGGATTTTTGTATCTGTTTTCTGACGCCATTTCTTGTAAAAAAAATAAATAAATTTGGGTAGCTCTGAATGAAGTGGTGCAATTCGTAACAATTTGATGTACGCATAGTAATTAGGCACGAACTTATCTGACCATTTGGATATCACACTTTTAATGCAAAACTTCACCATATTGGTGCAATTGAAAAGACAAAGTATAAACAGGTTTTAAAGAAACCAAACCTTTATTTGAAAAGAAGTACTGAGTTTGCATTTAACACTTTGAAGTACAAAAGACTTACCAAAATAAACAAGTTCACAACAGAAGTCTTGCCAAAACAAACAAACAAGTTCATAATTACAAGGCAGTTGCATTATCAAACAATTTCACCATTACAAGGTCATTGTCATGGCCTTTTTTGCAGGTGATTTGAACTTTGGGGATTGACAAATAACCACTGGATAATTTGAAACACGCAAAGTTGATCTTAAGATTGGATGATGTTGATCTTACAAATGCAAAAATGTGTTCCTTGTCACGAACACATTGCACTCGTGATAAGAACATTGGCACCACATTACTTCAGCATTTTTTATATAGAAATAATTGGAACAATATTCAATTGTTTTTGTTATTTATCAAAGAAACACATTCGAATTCTTTAATTAAAATGTTGATAAAATTCCTTTCATTAAAAATGAATATTGAGATTTCAGATATGAGGTTCAAAATGAACTTGTTGATTTAGTGGCATGCGATTACTTATTATCCAACTAGAGTTTGGTTTGCTTGGAACTCAAACTAGGATTAGGATTAGGATTCAATTAGGCGATGGGCTTAGTTTTAGAGTTATAGGTATATAAGGTGATCTTGTAGGTTTGTTGATGGGTACAACTCTCAAGGTCGACTGCCAATATGGAGGACACTTAAATTTGCGAACTATTTTCCTGTGGAGGGAAGTTTTTTTTTTGGGTATAAGGAATAGTCTAAATTAGAGGAGAGAGGATTTCTCTCACACAGACACAAATGATGCCATGACGGTTTGAACCTCTTATCTACAAAATGAATATCGAGATTTGAAATATGGGGTTTAAAATGACATGTTATAATTTATTTAGTGACATATGTTTATTATTTGAAAGGGTGGAAGCTATAAATCTGGAAAGTCAGGAATATGAGAGAAAGGGTAAGTTGGAAGTCAAATTAGGATTAGGAAAGGGTAAGTTAGAACTCAAATTAGGATAAGGAAAGGGTAAGTAAATTACGAATTTTAATTACTATATTTGTATCCTGTTTTGATTGGGAATTTTGTATGTATTGTAATTAGGTTACTTGCTTCTTACACATGTAAGTTGTTATATATACCTCCCTTAAGAAGAATAAAACTATCTCTGAAAATCCTAAATACCAAAATCTTTCGTTTCGACGAAATGGCGATGAAGGAGCTGAAGAAATCTTCTGTAATTCGCCTCAATATCGGAGGAAACAAATTTTGCACAAGTGTTGATACTCTAACTCAGCGTGAGCCTAACTCAATGCTTGCTGCAATGTTTAGTGGACGCCATAATATTGCGTGTGAAGAAGACTGTGAAAAGGGGTATGTTTTTATTGACAGGGATGGCACACATTTTCGGCACATCCTTAATTGGTTAAGGGATGCTACTGTTCCTTTGTTAGAAGAGCGTTGTAAATATTCAGAGCTTTTGAGAGAGGCAGAATATTTTCAACTAGTTGGTCTAACAGAGGAAATACACGCTTTTCTAAACAAGGAGGACGATCAAATTGCAAAGTTGGATGCAGATTTAACGCGCAGGGATATCATCAACTTTATACTATCTAATGCTACAATAATGAAGTTTAGAGGTTTCAATCTCTCTGGCCTTGATCTTTCGAAACTAGACTTGACGAAGATAGATTTCAGTTATGCATGCCTGAGAAATGTGTGTTTCTCAGGTTGTGATCTTACACGCGTAAAATTTAAATATGTGGATGCCGAGGGTGCCATCTTTAACAATGCTACTTTGACAAATTCTGAATTTGTAGGAGCAAATCTCCGTGACGCTTCGTTTGTTGATGCCAAGCTTAGCTTTGCAGAGGTAGACAGTGCATGCTTGGTAAATTGTAGCTTTTTGAGAGCAATCTTGGATAATGCACAGCTTTATAACTCTGATCTTACAAATGCTAATTTTAGGGATGCAAATCTTATAGGTTCTTACGTACAAGATGTGAATTTGCAACATTTGGTGGGTGCAAATCTTGGCGTTGTTACTGCCTACCCAGACGAAATTCGTTGAGATATCAATTTTTGCTGGCATTAATTCGTTGATAATATTTGTGCATGTGATACTGGCCAGACAAGTTGCCCTACTTTTTGCAATATTTCTAACTTCGTTGAGCTTCTCTCATGTTTTTTTCTCATGTAATATATCTAATTTTTGTAATCTCTCTTTCCCCTCAATGAAATTTAGTTTGACAAATTTTGTTGTCAAATATAAAATATATCTAAATGTAATTAACTTCAAGTGAGAATGTTCGAGAACAATATGGGTAGAATTTTCTGATCGTATTCTTCTCCACAAAGGAATCCTATTTACACCATAAACTTTGTATTAACTTTGCTGTTGCTGTCGAATAATATATATATATATATATATTGGCCAATAGTGAAGTGTGTGAGAACAAAGTTGTGAACAAAACAAAGCTAGTTATTATTTAATTAAATACATTAAAACAATTAATGGATGTTTGGGCCTAAATTGGCTCAAAAACGGGTGAACACCTTAATAAATCAAAAGAGAGTCCTTAGGGCCTCACGTGCTTGGGTAACTAGTTTAATCACTTGAGGTACAAGCTCCTTATACGCTTCTTCTTTAATCAACTTATGTGCATGCCACTCATGAATTGATATGCTACGTATAAATACTGGAATACGTTATTTTGAGGTTTGGATTGGCAATATGTACATGATCCAATTCAAGTGCATGTAGGTAGAGCATGTGTATTTATGTGACTTGATTACACATCTTGTGATTTTATTCACAACTCCTAAGAGAGGCAGAATATTTTCAGCTGCCTGGTCTAAAGGAGGAAATGCGTGCTTATCAAATCGTTGCAAAGTTGGATGCAGAACTAAAGTGCATAGATACATCAAATGTATACAATCAAATGAGAGAATTAGGTTTAGAGGTGTTAATCTCTCTGGCCTTGATCTTTCGAAATTGGACTTGACTAAGATAGATTTCAGTTATGCATGTCTGAGAAATGTGTGTTTCTCAAATTGTGATCTTCACGGCGCAAAACTTAATTATGTAGATGCTAAGGGAGCCAACTTTAGCAATGCTAGTTTGGAAAGTTCAGAATTTGTAGGGGCAAATCTCCGTATATTTGTCGGTGCCAATCTTGGCTCTGCAAAGAAAAATTGTAGCTTTTGGGGAGCAAGCTTGGTTGCTACAGAGCTTCATGATGTTGATCTTAGAAATGCAAGTTTAGAGGGGGCTTGCTTGGTCTCTGCACAATTGCTTGATGTTGATCTGGCAAATGCAAATTTAGAGGGGGCTAGTCGAGAACCTGCAGACCTGAAGAATATCAAGACAACAACTAATACTAAATTTCTTCAAGAAGCTTATGTAGAGAATGAATTTTCAACATTTGGAGGGTGCAAAGCTTGGTCTTGTTACTCCTTCCAGTAATGGGGTTATATGCAGGCCTTCTCATTTCTTCTATTATTAGAGCTACAAGCCTAAATTTTGGAATTTTTTTTTGTTATTTAAATAAAGGATAGGATATTTACAAAGTATTTCTCTAGCAGGACTTGGCAAAAACTTCCATTTACAATCATCTCTACGTTGAGTAAGAAACGGTTTAAATGTCATCAGAACTGCGATTGTCTCAACCACATTTAGGATGAAGAAAACCACCTACACACACCTACATTAATCCAATATATACCAAGTGGTAAATTTAGCTAAAACAATATAGTTACATAAATTTTATCGAATTCATCACAAATATATATGTCTAAGCTAAATTCAATGCACATGATTAGATTCAACAATGCATGCGACAAATTAATTAATCATGCACTCTCTAAATCGCTTGGACCAAATTCATATTGCGAGTACGTGGACAATTAAAAAAAAAACCACAACTTTTTAGCTAACAAAAATCCATGATGAAAAGTTGGTTGACACTGATTGATAGCTGGGAGGATGATATCATTCTGGCGTTTCTCTGCCCAAGAAAACCTGTCGATAGATGAAATATGATTAGCAAAAGGAAATATGTTACTAGACATGATATAGCTGAAGTATAAGGTAAGGCAAGGCAACAAGCCAACTTTTAGTGTTTCGGTGAACTTACAGGGCACCGGCACTAGCTGGACCAACTGCCTTGAACAGAGACATTGCAGTCATGGCAAGGCCATTGGCAGCACCTCTTTGTTGTTGTCCTGTTGTTTAATCATGGTCAATCAAGACAAATTCTTCAGTTGAAGAATGACTTTTTTGTTTTGTTTTTAACAATGCAATATTTTAAACTACTCTAATGTATGGGAAGGAGGATCGAACTCAGGTTAAGGAAGGGGCGCAATAATCTTATCGCGTATTAAAACAAGTAAAGGGGAAAAACAAAAACTAGGTAATTATAAAGGTGCAATTACCACAGCATTGTTTTGGATAGTGAACAGGCCAGTTACAGTCGCAATCTAATTACATATATGCACTTACTGATAAGACATTCTTAAGCATGGATAAAATATTTATCAATAGGGAGAGGATGAACCCCGACACTTTGCTATAAATGGAAAACTTGACAGCGGAGGTATTGATAAAACCTACATATACGAAAAAAATAATGTCAAGAAATATACAAGAGGGCTCGAGCGCTAAGTGATGTACATGACAAAGAAAAATGAAGAGAAAGCACAGGAGCTGAAAAGTTTACCCCTCCAATGCGAGCAATCATTATAGATATACTGAAAAGAAAAAGAAAAAGCCGTATAGCCGCACGGCTATACTAATTAATTTGCTTTTGAAAATAGTATAGCCGACCGGCTATATTATTTTCCAATTTTTTCTAAAAAGTATCGCCGCGCGGCTCTACTCGTTATATAGCCGGCCGGCTATATGAGATCCTTCTTTAAATTTTTTATGAAAGAGTATAGCCGCGCGGCTATAATGTTTTTCCTAATTTTTTAAAATAGTATAGCCGCACGGCTCTAATCGTTTGACACGAGGCACCTAAGGCCGGGCTTGTCCTTTACCAGATTTGCCACAAATTGTGATGTGGTATTATTATTCATTCCTATGTATGTATGCAATGTGTTGGCGGTATGCTTCATAGGTTTGCTAATTTGGGTTGTGTTTTACATTGGAATACTTGTTTTTCAGGTCATTTGTGTGAAATGTGAAGGTAAATCCAAACATGCATACTGCCTATTTTCAGGTGGTGTGAATTCTGGATTTGGAACGATACATAGACAAGTAACTAACTTCCTTATGAATTTTAAAGGACCACTTTACATTTAGTATCATGATTCCAAGGGTTGTAGACTACTCAAGAATTTCAAATCTCAAGTTTTATGTTGAAATTGAATAAAGGACTAAAAATGCTGCTTATTTCTTTACAGTTCAATCCTTCCTTTCCTTCCCCCAACTAAATCCCTAAAGCCCTAAAGATTGCCCATATTACCATTTATTAGCTCTCCGAAGTCCAAATGCAGCCCCAAATCCATAACTTAGTTGCCTTCAGATTTCATGCAACCTATTTTCTTGAACCAGCCCTTTTCCCCCCTTTAAAATCTAATCCTTTGAATCCTACTGAAACTCTACAAGTTAAAAATACAAGTTGACAAACCTTAAAGCCCACCATATATGCAGTTGTAGGCTGATTATTTAAGTTGTCCTACATCAAAATATTCTTTTTACTTGTTATTCTGGATCAAACTTGTACTTGTTCAACAACAGTGATAAGATTGTTAATAAATCAAGATTGGCTGCTTGTTTTAATTTAGTGTCATTCAAGTAACCCCTTAAGGGGTTTGTCATTTGTTAATGAACTAATTCTTATACAGTTACTACTGAGCATCATTCAATTTCTCTCCCTCAATGTTTGTAGGATTTCACGGAAGATTATGAGATAACCGTGCCTTTTCAATCCCTTCAAGCTCTAGGATGCCATGTTGATGGAGTTTGCCCCAAGAAAAAAGCTGGTGATATCTGCACAACTGCTGTCCATGATTTTGAAGGTGATCAAACCTACAGTGAGAAGCCAGGCCATAATTTCAAGTTTAAATGCTGCTGGTGTTCTGCAGGTACGGTTATCGACATAATCATTTAAGAGTAGTTCCCCACTTGGTGATGAGAAAGTTATTGAAATAGTGAAGCAAATCATGGAAGCTGGGAAACCAGTTGCATCCATCTGCCATGGGCAGCAGATTTTAGTTGCTGCTGGTGTTCTGCATGTAAGGTTATCGACATAATCATTTAAGAGCAGTTCCCCACTTGGTACTTTTCTTTTTCCGCCTGACTACACATTTGTTTCCTGAAACTTGATGCAAAGTCCTTATCCTTTAAGTTTATCAATCAAGTCGAATTATAAATTTTACTAATTCAATTCTGTGCTTTTGACAACCACAATAATGATGTTGTTACGAATTTTACAGATTTTCCGTTTGTTACCCACCAAGACTAGGCTAAGATAGGGAATCACCTAGCAAGGTTAGGGTATAAGCTAGGCAGTTTCTGTGTCTTATAATGTGTTAGGTGGAGTGTGGTGTATCGTCAGACTTGTAAGTGGGACATTACTTATCTTCTATGTACATAAAGTGGTATCAGAGTGAAGATTCTATTGGAAAGTCCAAAAGCATTTACTGATGGCATTGCTTGATGTTAAAGTATCATTCTAGTTGCTGTTTACTTGGTCAGCCGCTTGCATGTGATATACTTAATTCATGAAAGATTAAAACAAGGATGATATGCTGCCTTTTGTATCAATGACTGACCAAGTAATAATCTGTTTTTGATCTGTATATGCCATGTTCCATGCAAGTAAGTTCTGTCTTGCCTGCGAATCCCAATCCTGATGTCAGATTGTATGCTATTCCTAACATAGGGAATGAATATCGTGACTATTGGGATAACATATTCATATGCCTATTACCTGTGCTTTATATTGAAATTTGATTTATCACTCACCGAAGTGTCCTTTTTGTTTGTTGCTGCATCTAGAGTGTATTTATCACATGATATTAGATTTTCATTTCTGTGAATTAACAATTTATTTAAATTAAAAAAAA